GAGGAGGATGCCAGGGGCCAGACACAGAGTAAGAAGGAAAGTAAGATAATGCAGAAGAAAGAAAAAAACACAGAGAGAAAAGGTAGACGAGATAAAAAAGAAAAGCTGGCAAGAAACAAGCTAAGGTCAGACATTCATGACTGAAAATCAGCCTCCATGTGAGATTCATTTGGGTACTAGCCCCCTCCCCCCAAAGAGAAAAAACATAATGGTGCCAGACATGGGGTGCCAATTTTTTCTTTTTTAATTGTCACTGCCTTTTAAGCTACTGCTAACCTATTCAGCAACTGCCACTCTGCGGCTACCTGCAGCAGCTAGGCTGCCTGAGCTGGAGCCTGAGGGGATTCTGTTCCCTCAGGCACCAACTCTTTCAAAGCTACTAAGAAAACATTTAAATCTCCATTCCACTAAGAAATCAAGATTCAAAGGTTGAGATAGAATTCTGCATCCCCAAGAGGCCGAACAGCAAACAGCTCACGCCTCTCAGGAAGTCCTTGTGCTTCGTCTCAACTTCCTTATAAACCTTCTCCACCTGGCTGCTCCCTACCACTTCCTGTCAGCTAGCTGCTGACCCAGCCTCCTGCCAGCAGGTGAATTTTATTTAATCAAACACATCTTTGCATCATTAAACAAATGTTCCAGCGCATAAACCAAAGTAGCACACCTTAAATTAATATTCTACAACAGGGATTAAAGGTGTGCGCCTCCACTGCCTGGCAGGTTTTAATTTTTTAACAACCTGCCTTCCAGGAAGCTGCTCTGGCCCCCATTTCCTGCACCTTTCTCCACTATTCCTGTAAGAGCCAACCTGGCAGATCAATACCAAACTTTGTATTTTTACACTGCCTTTTCAGGGGTGGGTGGGTTGTAATGGCTCTGACTGTCCTGGAACTCATTCTATAGACCAGGCTGGCCTCAAACTCAGAGATCCCCCGCCCCCCGCCTCTGCCTCTCAAGGCATGCACCACCACACCTGGGGTTACACCTCCCTTTTAACATTTCTGTTGAGTTTTATTCTATGGTTCTCAGTTGGCTTCCAACTCTTCTGGTCAGGCAGTTTTCAGGAAAATGGACTCCTGGCAACTTTGATGTTTCAGACTTCACTGGAGAAGAAGCTTAAGTTTCTTTCTCCACTCAATCCATCCCTTCTGTCAGCATCTACTGGTACACATCACTCCTCAGTGCCTGAGCACACAGTAGGGACTTGTCTCCCGAGTGTGAAGGTGAGAGAGGGACATGCGGAATTTTAAATGTCTTAGTGGCTATAGAAAGATGAACTCCATCTCAACGTATAATCAACTCATACCTTACTGAACCTTCAAAATCCAGCAGCATATACACTTAACACCGGCTCATGTGGCAAATAGCCCATGCTGCTCCTACAGTAGCCTGGAGGGAGTCACTGCCGACAGGCTCCTACCCTCCACTTCTGCCTAGTCAGCCTTTCCCTGGAAGGGCCCTATTTCAGCTCTGGGCATCCCTAGCTTTTTTTTTTTTTTTTTAAACCTGGGGTTACTTCACATTTCATCTCATGACTGAAGCTTCAACATAGGTTGGGAACACACCGTCTGCCTGTGTTCTATCCCTATCGCCCCAACCATGCAAACATATCGGGGAAGGTAGCAATGCTACTCTGGCTCAAAACACTTGCTGAGACTTTTCACCATAGCCTGGCCCGGAGGTTTTCTGGAGAAGTCACTGGCCCAGGCACAGGCTTCTTGTGTCAGAAAATGGGCAGCTACTTGAAGTGATAGTCTTTCTCTTCTAGAGAGTTGTGAGTTGTTCTTCAGGGCATTATCTAAAGTTTGTGAGCTCCGATGCAGGCTTTCTTTGCCTTACCTTTTGGGCCCCAACACTTGGTTATGGAGTAACTGCTCCGTTGGTTTTGTTGTTGCTGTTTTTTGAGACAGGGTTTCTGTGTAGCACTAGCTATCCTGGAACTCTCTCAGTAGACTACTAAGAGTTTTGGGATTAAAGGTGTGCACCATCACTGCCCAGCTGCTCTTTTCATGTGTAATTTTACAAATTGCCCTGTTGTTGCTGGATTTTCTTGTCCTGCCAGGTCCTGGCCCGATTGACCCCCAAATAAACACACACAGACTTGTATAATTAAACTGTTTGCTGATGGCTAGGGTTTCTTATTGACTAGCTGTCTTAATTAACCCATTTCTATTAATCTAAGTATTTCCACATGGTCTTATCTTACTGGAGAAGGGTCTGG